TTGAACATATGCAAATGTTACAGTCCAGGAGATCATATCTGATCTGGGTATTGTTGTTACCTGAAAATAAACTCTGAAAGAGAAGCAAAGACAGAGAAATTGTGATAAATTAAAGAACTGATACACAACAATAAACAATAAGACCACTTGATATTTACAGTTATTGTGTTTTTGGATATTTGCAATACCTAAATTAAGGGAAAAGATATAGAGTTTATCCTCACTTACCAATGGAAATGAAAATCTCTTTTTGTTTGCTGTTTTTTCACACAGAAGAATTCTACCTGTTGTTGAATCTAAAGCAACTATGAAGTCCTCCTCTTGGCATCTGAAGCAAGTGTAAAATTTAATTTAGATGCAATTTTATGACTAAATCACTGCCAAAATGTTGCTTGAAACTGGACCATGCTCATCCCTCCTCTGAAGCTAATTGAGACACAACTTAGTATAATAAAATTGAGCTACTGGAAGCACTCACTCCTGTATCAACCCTTTACCCCCTAACATCAGTATCCATGTTCTCCATACTATTCACTATACATTTCCTGAGGTGCTGACAAAGAGAATTTATTTAATGATCAAGAGCTACTTTAGTTGGTGATCATTTCCTTTATTCTCATGACCTTAATGTTTGATTCAAGGGTGATATTGTAAGGAGAAATTAGATGCTAGTTACTCCTAGGGATAAAAGGGTTAAGAGTGGCTACAGTTAGAAGGTAGGAAACCAGAGTTAATAATCCTGGTTTGCATAGCATGACGGGATTTTGGAGTATTACTATTACTCAGGCTTCCCTGACAATTCCCTGATACCCACTCATACTCCTAGGTGGAGAGAGCCACTGAGAAAGTAAGTGCTTTATGCAAGATCACAAAGAAGTGACTCAGCCAGGTCTGGAACCTGGACCTCTCAAAAAAGGAATCTAATACACTAACCATTACACCACCAACTTACCACTTGGTTGAAGTCAAGGAAACATAAAATGGTAATAAGAAATCCAGATGGATACTTACCTTGTTCTATGTCCTGGATTAGCAACTTTGAATACCATTGTCATCAGCGAAGCTTTGTCCTTTTTTCTTCTTTCTCTAGAATTGATACAAAATTCGTGTACCTCATTTCTAAATATACATGAAGATGTATGAAACTACTGACAGTACTGATACTACAGCATGGACTGAAGTTGACTTACTTGTGTTCTTGTAAGACATGCTCCAATTTCATGTTTGATACCACATCACCACTCACCAACACAAAATCGTTTTTAAGAAGAGTCTTTTAAAACAAAAAATAAATAATTTGAATCAACAGTTCAAGGTAACTGTATTTTTAACAGCTCTTAAAGTAAATAAAAGTAGAACACCTACTGCCAGGAAAGATTTTCTGTTGCTAAAGCCCACAGGACACACTTGGCAATTTTATATGCCAATCGCTAGATCAGCAAAAAATTGCCAAGTGTGCCTGGTGCAGCAATGATGACTTCGTCTGATGAGTGATCAAAATATAAAACCACTAATATCTGGCATGTCAGACTGGTATATCAGCCATTTTCCCTAGAGATCAAATTTAAAGCAATTGGCAAATACATATGCATCAAAGGACTTTGAATAGCATATTTAGAAAACTCTTGGAACATGTCTGCTTCAAATTTTGACCAAACTGAATGTTTTCATATATAACTGGATGGAAGTAAAAATTATAAAGGAAAAGATATCTCAAGCTGAAAATCTGAACTCATCAACTACTTTTAACTCATCTTGCTCCAGGCACATTAAAGATAATTAGATTAAATTAAAGATAAAGATAACTCATCAAAATTTGTCTTTGCCATCAAACCTGTCTGTCAATTTCTCGAAGAACATCACCCAATGACAAGCAGTCTTCTGCAACAATTGTTTTCACTTCACAGGGTGACCTTGAACTGGTCCATTTTGACTGGCTAGAACATAGACAATATATATTACAGTGACAGTTTGTACAAGAGAATCAACAAAAGGCTACCAGTTTTTTAGTACACCAGCCCACTAAAAAGACAAGCAGTGGCTACAACCATCAAACTATAAGCACATGATTTTTTTCAATGAAGTATAGCCATTGGAAGCATGTCATAACTCTACAGACCTTAAATGTTTCTTGATCTGGTCAGCATGTGCACAGCAGAAAACAAAGATTTCCTGTACTCCTGCCTCCACAAGGAATTCAATGGTGTAATCCAGAAGAGGGACATTGACCAATGGTAACAAGGCCTGTGGCGATCATCAAGACATAACCAGCATTAAACCCTTACATAAACAGAAGGGATTAACATGTAACTTCTTCACTTAATATCCATTCATCATTCATTACCCAGCAAACAGGTCACAAGAATACTCAGACTTATTATGCAAAAGTTGTTGTCTTGATCTAAAGCGAATTTTGTAACTAATTTACAAGGCAATGTGTAACAGCGAGAGGAGAGAATTAACAATCAGATCATGGGGGTTAAAGGGCAAAAAAGAAAAAGTCTAACACCCCTTCCAAACCTATTCCTCATGATCTCTAACCAAGTCTTCCCTTCAAATGTGCTTTGAGTGTTATTCTCTCCATACATCATAATTTCTTCTTGTCAAACTCAAATCAGGAAACTCGACTTATTACATTAAACGTCTGTTATGGCTTAAACAGCTTTTTAAAAGCTATTACTGACCGCCTCCATAATTATTCCAAGTTAGCACCTAATTCCCTCTCTATTAAGGCAGGTATCCTTAATATTTCAGTCATGAGAGGTAAAAGAAAGCTAGAAGAATCATGAATGAAACCCCCATAGGTGATTCGAAGAGATTTCCGTATAACCCCATACTACTCTAAATCAAAGCACCCGTCCGAAAGGTAAACTTATGTTTCCGCCAATGTTTTCTTTGTAATATATATGTATGCATAATAAAATATGAGCCATTACGGAAACCTCACCGCAACATGGGAGACCACAGCCCACTCAGCTTCTTCTTAATCGATTTCCAGCAAATTGAATTTATGACCAGATCAAAATAAATCGAAAGTCACAACATACGTGACATGTACATTCAATGACTTCACTTACCCTGGGTGTTTCAAGAGTTACTGGTAAGAATCTGAAGTTGAAACTATCCGTGAGAATAACGCCTTGAAAGATCTCCTCTCCTTTTTCCCAAGACTCCCCCGATTTTCCCTCTCCTTTTTTCTTTTTCGAAGTCATGACTTGGTTGAAATGAATATGGCGCCCATTGATTCAGACCTCCCTTATTATTAGAAACGGAAATTACCGACCTTTTTCCGATCTTAGATCGACCTTATTCGTAATTTCTCGATTACAACCCGAAAGCATAGAATGAGCCGCAAACAAAGCAGCGGTTTTACCCAATTCTTTCTCTCCACGTCTCTGCTTTTCACCTCTTTGTTGATCTTTGTGTAATTCCAAAATGGTGGGTATATGTCTTGCAGAATCTCTTGAGAATCTTAGCCATCTTTGCATTGTTAGAGCAGGAAATAATATAGATAGAAACTTTATTTATAGGAATTCACCACTGATTTATTTGATGTTTGATTCTCAACCACAATTCTTATATTTCAGGAGGGATTATCGGTTGACCAGATGAACCGATATGCCAGTCCAATCAATCCTGCGGTCTTTCCCCATCTGACTGTTGTTCTGCTTTCTATTGGAATATTCTTTATGGCCTGGTTCTTTGTGTATCCTTTTAAATGCAGTCTTCATAAATTTGCCTACGTAATGTAACTTCTATGGTGAGTAGATCGTACTACATACCATGTACTGTACTCTAGAATTTTAGAGCAGTGCTTCCATCCACAGTAGCGTAGAAAAGATGACAAGGATTCATATTGTAAACTCATCGAGATATTCTCCGGTAATCAATTTATCAATTTAACAGTTTTAGAATTAAAAACATAAATCTTTCGAACTTTGTTGGATAGGATCAATACTTTTGTTATTATTATGATATGAACTTGTTTCAAAGGTACACGTATATGTAGAATTGATTTCGAACTGATGTGGTTCGAGTCACCAAATAACTGTGCCAGGTCCTTTCCATTTTTTTACTTTTACTGACAGTTCAGTCGATTCTTTTTTTGTCGGATCCATGTAGCATTTAAGACATATGCAAAAGTATAATTTTTGCAGGTATTTCTTTAACGATTACTGCAGCTATGAAGTCACTTCCACCAAGTACAGTAGAGATATCTACAAGGAACTGCTGGTCTCATTAGTGGCATCTCTATTTATGGGATTTGGAGTGCTTTTCCTGTTACTCTGGGTTGGAATTTATGTATGACAAGAAGTACATGACCAGAGAAACCATCTACAAAAACAACAGCCACACTATAACAACTTTCAAGAAAGAAAAGTCTTGCTGAGCATGGCACCTCTCATTGTGGACACTTGTATTTTACTAAAACAGAATTTCCTAAACGATTGTAATGATAATAAAGAAGTTTAGTTGTATTTGCTAATTTTGAATGAAGTCAAGTTTTATTTGTGTGCTCCAAATGTGGCAGTGCTTTAGTGTGTGGTATTTAGAGGCAGTAAGCTTGTCAGATCAATCTTGGTCCCACACAAAACACGAGGTTAAGAGAAAGAGATATTAAGTCATGTTCTATGGAAGTATTAGAAAGCTGAATCTCATAACCAGGCAGGATCAGTACTTCATTAGTGCAGCATTTCTCATTCCCAATTTCCCTCCCCCTTCCCTTTATTTCCTTAATTACAGCATGGCCTCTGTTATTTATTTATGGCTTTATAGAAATATTAGATATGGGCAGGGAGGGTGATTTTCCAGCAAGGGAAATATCGTCATGATGTTCAAAGCAAGGCAGGACTGATATTGTGCAAGTAGAAGCTCCTTCTGGTGAGGCTTCTTCACTTTTTATTCTATTTTTGTTTTTCTGTCATTTTTCTTTCTGTAAAAGGTAGGTAGAGTCTTATACTTGAGCTAAGTGGCCCAACTGATCCAAGACTCATCTTGGTTTCCTGAGCATGAAGTGGCTAGAACTATCAGTACTCCCCCTGGATAGGATGCTGGTCTATCATGAGGTTACCCTCTAGCATTTCATCAGGCTTCCCTAGCAATTTGCCAGTACCCATTTATGCTCCTGGGTGGAGATAGGCGCTGTGAGAGTAGAGTGTTTCATCTGGCCAGGTCACCTACCCTAACACTCGACCCTGAGTCCAGTACACTAATCATAAGGCTACCTCATCTCTCAGTTGTTCTTTATGTAGAGAAGTTGTAACATTGATAACCTAACAATCTTCGTTTGTGTAGAGGGCTTTCGGTCTTACAATTTGCTTCATTGGAATGATGGTTAAGTAAGTAACTTTTGTAGGTCTGCAGTAATTTTGCAGCATATCAAAATATTTTATTCCAATTTTTAGATATATGTATACATGCATAATTTTCTAAAAAGTTAAAACTTCTCTATTTGAGCAGCTTCTGTGGAACCTCGAGGTCTCAGTCTTCATTGATAAATCATTTTATATACATGCTAACAGTTTTATATCCATCTTTCAGTGGCTAGAATGATATGTAATTAACACCCAAGTGGCATCCATTTTTTGATGGCCTTAGCTGGGGCCAGTTTATCATTAATTTCTGTGGTGCCATCAAATCCCCAAGAGGGTTTGCTATGTGTGTAAAATGAAGGCAAACAACCAGTGGTTCAATGGCTATTTCCTGTGGCTTCAAAGAGGTTATGGCTTTTATAGCCTGCGTGTTAATGCTTCCCACACTTATGAAGCAACAGCAATACAAGACTTGTACACGGAGGCTTATTCAAAGGAATAAGACATACATAAAGCTGTTGTTGTTAGAAATTGCACGGGAACAGATGTCTCACAGCTTTGACTCCTGCCGAGTGCTTTTGTCACAGGTTTTCGGCTACAATGGTGACTGGTAAATTTGGAAACAGAAGACTATAATATTATCAAAGATGAAGGGATTAGATTTCGCTATTTATTGCCAATAATTGGCAACCGACAGGATTTCAACCTGATATGTGTCCTCGCTGCTAACGGGTTTGCTAATTCATCGTGGTCTTCCTTGAAGTCTGTTAAATGCATTGAACTCGGACCCGAATTTTCTCTTAATTCGCCGAACGATGTGAATAAAGGAACTGTGGCTGATCTTTTGAACGTTTCATGCGGACTTGTTGTTAAAGTATGAGACCGACGCATACGGTGTCCTGTGTAACTACACCTGCAATCTGGACTGGGGAATGGCGTGACGGCACTGCACTGCGTAGCAAGGGACGGTGAATGGCTTCTTACCGAAGGTGGCTGGGCGGAATTAGCCCGTTCATGGACTAATTTAGTCGAGTTTCCGCTTCGCTGTGCTAAATTGGGATACACGGGACTGACCTGTTGTAACCTCCGCCTTTCTAGTCCTATTTGCGGTGTTTCCCGCACTGTTTGAATACCATTCAATTGCTTTACCAGTGTTTGCTGTTCTTTGAAGATGTTGCGATTTCTTATCACGTGTTCTAAGTGTATCGATCGAAGTTGGTCCTGCAGTCGTCTGTCTTCCAAGCTATTACAACGGCGAACTCTTGCCACACGATTAGAGAAGCACGAGGGAGGATCTCTATTAAAGATGGACAGGTCCCCTTTACGCGTGATCGTCCGGTTTGACATTCTTCACTGTCCGAGTTCTCCGAGCGGAAGTTCTTCAGTTCTAATCGTTAAAATCGATTCCAAATAATTCTTACCAAAGCCCTACTTACTTTTCATATCAGTTCAATCGAAGTCCTTTCATCGATCGCAAATCATCATGAAAAAAACAAGCTGATGCCTCTTTGAACTAAGCTGAAAACGAGGCCTTTCGAATCTTTTCCGTTGTCTTCAGGGAAGAAGGCAAGTTTGAACGTTTTGCCGAACTGAAATAAAATCCAACAGGAAACGTCGCTGTTTAGTGGACTCTTTAAATTTCTCAAACGGTTCCACAGATGACACACAGTTTCCCTTAGACCGTTTCTAAAGTCTTGTTTTAACGCTGTTCCTTGTCTTGGCAACGTCCTCGAATAGATTAGTCGATAAATACCACGCGAATTCTTGCTATCTCATTTCATACATGTGCGGCTTAGTGGTTCGATTCATCAATCATACAGCTTGTTTGTAACCATGGTCTCTTAAAAGAAATGGTTCGTGGGATAGCGCAAAAGCAAAAATGAACGTATTTGGTAATCTGTTAAGATCTTGGCGTGCGAAAGTGGTGCCAAATTTACCGATAATTATCTTGGTAGCCTAAGAGACTAGATATTGTTGTTAAAAAGCAATCAAGAGAAACCTTAGATGACCACAAGTAACTGAGACTAGATATATCATCACAGGTATAGAATATCATTGAGATATCAACAAGCTTTGATCTCTATGGTTTCTTATTAAAATTCTTTAGATTCCCTCCAAAGGTCTCTGCAAAGAAAGCATATCAGTTCCGTCTATCATCAGGCAGTCGTTATGTAACGTAAAGTTAACCAAACAGTTGCAGCAAAGTCATGATTCTTAACTTACCCACCAAAACTGGACCGAAGGAGGGTATCTGGTTAAAAAGAATAAATACTGTTAGCTAGATTAGAAGCTGGGCTTGTGCCTGGCAATCACGAGTAAGTAAAGAAATGGCATGCACGTGATCGCGCTATCGAATTTGTCCTATTGCGGGTCAGTCACCGGTTTCAGTCTAAGAGAGTCCAGTGCCTCAGGGAGTTTCTTAGCATCATTTAGTGTTACTCAGTACCATCCCAGTGCATGATTCATGATGAGATTGCGTAATATATACAGTATTTTGTTACTTGTCAACCAACAGTTCATGTACTGACTGTATGATAGTGTTGCAGATAGGGAAACCGGAGAGTCTCTAGCGACCTGAACCCCTAAGTTTGAAGGAAGGTGTCGATGTCTAAAGGCCTTCGAAAATCTAAAATTTCCTACAAGTCTTTTCCTTTGATTTGTAATCCGCATATCGAGGAGTTTTGTCCGCGATTGAATGTTTGGCGGTTTCGTTGCAGAATGTGCGGCCAGCCCTTTTGCTTTTTTAAAGAGAGAGCGTGCTTCATGGGCGAAGAAAGGTAGGGGCCTTACCCAACAAGCCCCTTCCAGCCTTCGGCCGAAATCGAACTTAGGCTCCTCGACACAGGCGCTCACGCTGCTTTGTTGTTAGAGATTTGAAACATGTCCCAGAGAAGATTCATTCACCCATGACTTGAAATAAACTGAGTAAACAACTGTCTTTCCTGATCATCAGCAAAATCTTTAAGATTGACTGATGTAAACTAGTGATCAGCATTATGATGAATATAAAATAAAAACTAATGTGAAAGTTAATTAAAATAGGGCATTTAATCGGTATTCTGAAAATGGTGTTAGTTGGGGATTAAGCCTAAGCTGACTGCATTTAATAAAAAGTCCCAGATGGTAGGGAAACGCTACAGGTGCGTGACATTTTCATGTAAAGCTCTGTCACGCAACCTTAAGCCCCCCATAGTAAGTCATAAATTCCGGTTTAACAATGACGTCGATCACAATGTAGCTGATTTATTTTTTTTAAGGGGGAAGTGAGATGCCGTCCTGATTTTTCGAAGAAACCTGACTATCATGCGTCGAAATGTTTTCACTGCAGCTCGTGCCATGAAAATCGCCATCGTTCACGATATTTTCGTTCATAACAATGTTCTCTTCTCTCTCGCAGCTTGAGTTATTTGCCTGTTCATCGTCACAGACGGGTACACAGTTGACTGTCAAACTTCTTTGCCTCCGGAAAGTGGTAACCTGGTGATAGCTGTTTACACCCTTGCTTTTATTTTCGCCGGAGATTTCGACCACTTGTCCATTAATCACTGTGGGTCTGCAATTTGTAGTGTGGCGCCTCTTTCCTGACTTTGCAGCCCTGGTAGAGCACAAATCTTGAGCATTAAGTTTGTTTTGTTCCGGCCCTTGACACACGTCGAACGCTCTTCCTTCCGAAATATTCGGTGCGCAGTTGGTGCTATAACAGCGCTGTCTTCGTTCTCTCGTACCTGATATCTGGCTGCTCCTCATCTCTTCACCACTCTTTTGCCAGCTGTTATCTCTAAATTCTGACCTTGGCATTGTCCAGCCATCTTTATTCAAAACGTTTCTCCTTCCTCTCCAAGCCCAGCCTGGGCTTTGTGAGAATTCGCGGTTCAACTTCACTGATCTACATCGATGATCTAGCCCTGATCCCTCGTGTTCAGTTCCGTCTGAGCCCAAAAGGTCACCTTTTTCGATGCTAAGTAGTCCGTCACTTCTCCTATTTCCTTCCCATGCGGATATCTGTGGATAAACACTAGTGCTGAGGCTTCTCTGGCGTGACTTCATATTTCGATTGACAGAGGCGAGATTCTTGGGCCAGAATTCCGAAGGCATTGTACAGATATTGCTGTTGAGACCCCATGCCTTTTTCTGAACGTTTTTTGAAAGTTCTTCCTCTCCTGAGCTTAAAGACGCAATGTTACTTTGGCTCTTGGATCTAAAACACACATGCGGAAGCTTGGAAGAGGAGCTCTTACTGTCACTGTCACCAGTAGATAATGAACGGAATCTTTCTGCTTTATGCCCAGTTAAGCCGTATTGGCGAGTTTCTTTACAGGAGATCTGTTGGAGTAGCTTCCTCCTTTCGATACCAATAACTGGATTTTCTTTTACCTGTCGTATTTCACTGAGCTCTTTTCTCAGCATCTTTTTTTCGTGTGATATACGTGATTTGAAGTGCTCCTCCTCTGCTTTGAGAATATTGAGCTGTGTACCAAGGCGCTGGGATTCCATTCTGTTCAGACGGCGAATCGTGAAAACTCTGTTTGAAATAACTGAAGGGCTGTCTTCTTTCGGGGGAACCCAACCGTACGACATCCTTATGTTCTCGAAAATGAGTCAGATTTATTTTGAGTCAATATGTTTATGATCGCTTATTTCTCGAGAACCCCTTTTCACTAACCCAGCGTCGGTTTGTTTGAGCCAATCAGGCTTTGCGCTATACTATTTAGCTTCGCGTGCCGTCATTTCAATGTTTTCAGCATAGGTTATGTGGTTAATTAAAGGCGCAGATTAAATCCCAGCAGTAAACAGCTCGATATTTAGGGGCCTAATTCGTCCTAGTAAAAAAAGTTTACCCGCAAATTAGGGCAAAACTACTCAAAAAGGGACATCAAACGAGTTTTCACTTTGCGGAGTTTCAAGGTTGTAAAGGATTTTTATCAAAGTAATATATCGGATCTCTAATTCTTGTCATTTAATTTGTCTCTCGTCCAGTAATCTTGAGTGCAGATCCTTCAACTCAAGTGGCAAATCCGTATACAAACTAAATAAAATAGTTTCGCTGTAGAAACTAATTAGTCTTCAAAATTGATACTTGACACCGAGGTGCTAAGTGTGATCAAGAGTAACCATGATATGATCCTCTGCAAGTTCCTTTTTTAAAATTGGTAACTTTGGTTTCTCGGTTTTCATACTCTTCTTTCAGTAAAACGGCGAGTCAGGCTGCAATGAAATCGTTGTGTAAATCTACTTTGTATGTGGGACTGTGTAAAGTTTAAGAAAAAAATGATCAGATTTTCTGAATGCAAAAGCGCTTATTTAGTTAAGTTCACTTATCAGCAGTGTCAACTTGTCAGAATTCCTGTGTAGTCACATATGATCAGCTTTTAGACTATCTCGGCCTTTCGTACGACAGTTGAAAGATCAAGGCTTCACCATGTGCTGGCAGAGAAAAGACTGGGCAGAATAAATTTTCGCACTTGACATGCGTGTTGCAATTGCGTTCAACATGTCAACATGGCGGACCCACTGTTCGGTTTCAGTTCTGAGATTCCGGTACACTTTTAATTGTCATTTTTTTTTTACCGTAAAATTTTGTTGCCTATAATAGAGGAGTACGTAGTAATTTGAAGTCAGTATTGTACTTTACTAGGAATATATTTTCATTTTAAAGGCGTTTGAAGACGAAGCATTGTCTGAATTGGACCCATCGCTGACGAATCTCGCAGAAGGAGATGAATATGATCAACTAAACGACGACACATTTGGTGACGGAGCATTGGGTAAATTCTCTTGTTAAGCGTTTTAGTGTTAATTTTAAATGGAACTATTTAAAAAGTGACTTGAAAAGTGATTTCCAGATAGAACCACGTGGTAAATTAAATCCACTCAAAAGTGCAGTGCGTACGTTGAATTGAACAAAATTGTTTGTACTATACACTGTAATGAAATGAAATCCTGTTCTGATCAAGAGGCAGTTTTACGCTGTCTTTTTCCTTTTAAGTTTTCTTGCGTCATGGAAGAAACATTTAGTTATATTTTTAGCATATGTTGTTTTCGTTTGGGTTTTTAAAGGAGGTTCGTTTCAGGAAGCTCTCAGCATGGGCCTCCTGGCCATCGGAAACTTGCGTGCACAACTATCCTACGATTTAATTCTGTCTTTTAGTTAAATTCTGAAAGGAGATTCAATTTAGTTTTGAGTGAACGCTAGAGAAGGCAGTGAGACGCAACGAAGAGGCAACCATAATTGAATATTATCAACTGTCGTGGTTTGCATGGTTTTCAAGTCAGTTCATGATAAAATTGTACGAATCAAAATCTCACTCGGTAAAGATGCTACCTCACACTAAACCTAAATTTTAAATAACTCCTAGGATAATTTTACATCCTTTTTAGTGTTTTTAAAAAGCTAAAATGACTGGTACATGTAGCTATGTTGCCTGTTTTGCAGAAGATGATTGGGAATTTGGTCACAGAAAACTAGCAGGTTTGCCAGTAGAAGATGAAGCTTCAGAAAGAGCCCAATTTGATGAGTGGCTTAAGAAAAAGGGGCTTGGATCAACAGGTGACGGTCCTGAGGCAAAGTTTGTAGGAAGAAACATAGAGGAAGATTTTGAGGATGAGCTGGATCGAGAGGAGGTAAGCTTGCATTTCTGGTTGAGGGTGGTAATACAGCTAGATGTTTGTATACACATGAACAACTTGCTTTTTGTTTTGCATATTTTCCTAGTTACATGTAAGAACTTTTCAAGCCCGTCTGATTTTTACTTTCCTTTTCTTGGATAGATTATATTTTGTATATTTTGAGTACGTTTTTTGTTATATTACCGTTTGTATTATTAATTTTTTTTATAATTTTTTATACAGCAGATTGCATTTTCTTGCAGAGCACATTTTTTTTGAACTAGCTTATTCTTCTTTGTTCAAGATCACAAAACGACAAAAAAAAATTAACCTGGTTTGGTT